ATTTGAAAATGTGATTTTTCTGGACCGTTCACTGCAAATGTGAAAAAAATGTGACGCAAAATAATAACATTTTTTCACATAAAGGTGTCGCGCTTCAGAAATGTTATTTTATATGATTTTCTGTGAACTTATGTGATAAAATGTGATGCTGTTGAACCTCAAAAAAATTCACATTACATCACATTTTTTCACATTTCCTTGAAATTTTGCACGAAATTCACATAATTTTCACATTTATGCACCTGGTAGTGTAACACCCGTGTTTGAATTCGAATCGGCGTATTTGAGAATTAATGTCGTCCATACTTGGAACGCATGGTTGTTTATTTCAATGCCATGTCAGGCATTGCGCTAAAATGTTTACTAAAACGGGGAGGGTGACTATTAGTACTTTGCGTGTACCCCTGGCGCCTCTGAGCAGCATTGCAGCTTCTATGCAATAAGGCCGGAAACGACTCATAGTAATAACTCAATGAAGATATACCTTTTGCTGGTCCCATAATGCAACAATCTACGTGACTCTGTCATGCAAACAAGAAAGGCTTTACGACAAGGTCAAGAAAGAATTCGGACTCTGGATATGGATAGACACTGTTTACTGACAAAGTTTACATCATAAAAACTGATATTTGATATTTCAGGTTCTCAGCACTGGAATCCTGGGAGTTGTGAGCGGGAAGAATCCCAAAAACAATTGGCTGGTGAGTAGATATAGAGCGTTATTTTACAATTATAGGTCAGCCTTACATGTAGTTGGGGAAGCAATTATTCTCACGCACAAATTACAAAACAGTTGTCAAGTAGCATTCACTACTTTTTGTCACTGATGAAACGTCTGACAGTTTTCAAAATCTATCCAGTTCCTTGAATAAAAGTTTCCTTGCGTAGAATCCATATAATCTGTTATCTGCTCGTCAATGACTATCTTAAAAATCTTAAAAATTCATCTGTGTTGGTGGACGTCATTATACCGTAGGTTTAAACTGTAATTTCTAACGCGAGAAATTAGACTCATCCAAATTTTGGACTACGTTAACTTCAGTCTTTGTCATGGAATGAGCAATCCACTGCTTCTGTGACATCATGTAATGCAAATGACACACGTGACTCGGTGAGCATTCTTCCCTCAACGAAGACGGGGGGCGACACAGACGTTCTGCAACTTACGATCCACTGCTTACCGAGTCACGTGTGTCATCTGCATAATATGACGTCACTGAGGCGGTGGATTGTTCATTCCTTGACAAAGACTGGAGTTGCGCAGTCGTAAGTCCAATTTCTTGTATTGGAAATTACAGTTTAAACTTACGGCATGATGATGATGTTGCTTTGGAGTTTCATGGTTAAAATTTTTCGCTCAGATCGTGGCGTTTATGGTGCTGGGAATCTTCACCATCCTCGCGACCTTCTGCAGTTTCGGCTTGGCGGTGACCGGAGCGATCGTGGACAGCTGCTACTGGCGCTGGATTGGTGTTCGATGTGGCGTCGTCTACGTCAACGCTTCTGACTATGATTACTACAACGGCACTGCCACGAACTTTACCGCGTTCGATTATTTGTAAGAAGCTTTCCTTTCCCGTACATAGTAGGGGGGATTCATTCCTTAAGCTAACCGACATCTTGTACTCGCAGTCGTCCCTCAGTAAGACACCTGGAGCCGCATAGTTCTTGTTTAGAACTTTTATTCAGCCTGTCACACGACCGGTTTCGCCTGTGTGGATTCTTCAAGTGTACAGAGGCTAATGACACAAGTGCACAAGTTCTCACTTATACACTACATTTCCAGTGCATATTGCCCTCAGGTTAGTTATGGTCTCGGATTTTTTTTCACGATTTTGTCCACTTATAGAGGGCAACAAAATTTCTTCTTTCAAAATCGGGCGAAAATCAATGCGCACGGTGGTGTCATCTATAAAAATTTACTTGCTATTTGTCATGCTCGGCTATTGGACCGGAAGGTATAGCGTCATCACCCACAATGCAATACCAGCATGACGTCATTCTATCCGGTCAGGCCCGGTTCCACCGGCCACGTCTGGCCTACGCTCAAGCCCCCCACCCCACCCCAGCAAAACCCGTCGAGGCGAGGCACCGCGGATTCCGGCGGGACTGTTCGTGCGGGGAGACCGTGGCGATCGCGGCGTTGAGCCGGTAGAGCGCCGGGCTGTGGCAGGGCAGGTTTGGGTGCCGTACGAGAGCTACCGGCGGAGTTTAGACACAGTTTTTATAGTCTGTGTTTTGTTTCATAACTTGTTTGGCCAATATTTTCCTTGACTGTATGTTTTAAAGGAGCAGGAAGGAAGGATGCCTACGAGACGAGTCTGGCCATGGAGAGGTTTGTTTCTTTGCAGGATAGAATCCGTTGCCATCCTTCTCAGGGGAAAGCTAGAAACGTTTTCTGTCAGCGGTGACGAAGAAGTTAGACCAGGAACTACGCCAGTGTTATGTAATTTTTTAGTTTTGCCTTCAAATCAACAGTTTTTAGGTACGGTTGAAGAGACCAGCCCAGAGATGCAAGATGGCTGCCCCACTCGTCCTCTGGAAAGAGGAATCGCAATCCGTTGCAATCCTCGCCGTGGGCAAATCAGGGACGCCCAGTTCTAGCAGGACCAGGCGGCGGTTGCAGGGTTGTAATATATTTGACTGTCCTTTTTTTATTTTCGTTCAGATTTCATGTAATTTTTCCTCTGGCGTTTTCAGACGTTTGTAGTCTCATTGACCATGCTTGTTTAGGCTCCCCCAGTGGCAGACCTCGTCCGAGTGTTCCGAGCTCGGACTAGTTTTCTGTGGTCGTGTTTCCTTTTTTCTTTTTTACAGTGGTTTGCTGCTCGGGGTTGATGGAATTATCAATCCGGCGGACCACTAAGCCAGGTGCCAAGTGTTCGCTCATACCTCTCATAGCACATTTTTGCGTGTGTGTAATGCTAATGTAAGGCACAGAACCCTGTGGAAGATCTTGAAGGATATGGGTGTGTCCAGGTACCTAGTCAACTCGCTACAGCAGTTGTACAGACGACAACAAGCAGCGGTCAGAGTGGAGGATGAGTTAACTGACTGGTTCCAAGTCACGAAAGGAGTGCGCCAGGGTTGTCTCGTCTCACCGATCTGCTTCAACTTCTACTCGGAAGCAGTGATGAGAGAGTCTGCTGGTGAACTCTCATGGATTGGTGTGAACATCAGTGGGAGGACTGTCAACAATCTACGGTTTGCTGATGACATCGCCCTGATTGCAACATCACCTGAGAGACTTCAGGAGCTGCTGGACCTAGTCAACACTGTGTCTCTACAGTACAGGCTGGAGATCAGCACCAAGAAGACCAAGGTCATGGCAGCAACTAAGCAACCCACAGTACTGAGGATCTTCTGTCAGGGGGTTCAGTTGGAGCAGGTGTCAACTTTCAAGTACCTGGGTGCCATCATTGACGAAACAGCTGGAAGTAGCCGGGAGGTCAGTGCGCGCCTGGGAGCCGCGAGGACAGCCCTTAGCTCCCTGGACGTCATCTGGAAGGACATAGTCCTAAAGATGTCCATCAAGATGAGGGTGTTGAGAGCGCTGGTGTGGCCCGTGGTGACTTACGGCTGCGAAGCATGGACACTCCATGCGAAAGACACACAGAAGATCGAGGCCTTCGAGATGAAGTGTTACAGGAAGCTGCTCAGAGTTAGCTGGACAGAACATCGTACAAACGCCTCAGTCCTGGAAGAGTTAGGGATCGGAAGATCACTACTACACATGATTAGAAGGAGGAAACTACAGTACTTCGGACATGTGTCGAGAGCACAGAACATCTCAACTCACATCCTGCAAGGACGGATCTGTGGTAGCAGGAGCAGAGGGAGGCCGCGAAGGAGATGGGCAGACGACATCAGAGATTGGACAGGCAGGTCCCTGGCTGACTGCACACAGATGGCCAAGGACAGGGATGGATGGAGGAAGCTTGTGCTGAATGCTACCACAGTCCCCGACCCTCCAGAAGAGGAAGGGACAAGGTGAAGGTGAATGCTAATGTGATGTTGTGTCATGGTAATTTTTGGTGCGGTGCGCAAGAACACGGGTATGTGTTAGCTGTGTGAGGTTTGAGTGGCCTGGTTGGCTCATGCTAGCGTGGTAAATCCCACTTTTAAGGTTCCAGGCAGGGGGGGAGAAAAGAGTGACTGAATGCGTGGCTGGTGTTGTGGTCTTGTCATGTAGAGGTGGTTATAGCGTGTTGTGCATGAGTTCCTGCACTTCACCTGGAAGTTTGTGGCGATATGGGGGCATGCACTATGTATTCTTATTTTGCATCATGTTTGTCACGGCGGTCAATTTCTAGGGTAAAGTTTCCAATTCTACGGAAGGGTATCAGGTTACCGGGGTTCCACGCGCGGCTTCCGTGCAGCCAGTCTCAACAGTTAACATTTTGTTAAGCAATAATTAACAGTTTCACGGGGACTCTCCTGTCCAAATGTGATAAAATCAGCACTGCATATACCTCAAATGTTGTTGTTTTTATTACAACGCTTAAATGTGTGTGAAATCACTCTCAACGCGTCGAATGCTTATTTTAGAACAATCGACGTCAATAACCAAACAACTGATTTAAACCGACCCCAAATCTCCCAGAAAACCCCACATTTTTGCATTTTAGAGAACAGTATAACAAAATTAAGATTTGAGTCGGACAGTTTTCTTTATTTCAAAGTTAAAGTGTTGCTAAGGCCGAAAAATTCGCCAAAAAATGCAGTTTTTTAACTTCCAAGACCGATAATTCCAGAATGACGCCATCTTTAAAAAATCCGTCCGACACAGATCGAGATTTGTGTATTGCTTACAATTTAATACGTTTCTGAGGTAAATGGGATTTGTTTTTGTTCCGGTTTAAATACCATGTTTGCACGCATGTCAGGCCGTGTGAGTAAGTGCATGGGGTATCTTATATCCCCGTAAACAACAATTACGATCGTCAAGGTCACACACGATGACGGCGGTAGCTTCGTTACATGTTACATATCAACTATAAAATAGGGCATAGATGTACTGTCCCGAAATCGGTTTATATTTGTGAAAAAGTTGATTTTTTACTGTTAGGCGGTACCCGTGTAAAAACGGGCTTGAAGCCGCGGGTTTACTGTACGCGACCGCAGGTGACCCCGGATCGAACGAACGTTCGGTTCGATTTACGTCGTATCGAACATGATTCGATTCGAATGACGTCATATCGAACATGATTCGGTTCGATTAAAAGGTTGGAATATTTGGGCCCAAATTTGACCATCGTGTGTGCTAGCCGCAGGTTTCGCTTTGTTTCTCCATCAGCAGCAAGGGCACAGTGGGCTACCGATGCAGCTCGCCGAGAAAACAGCAGTCGAATGAGCGGTGCCCCGAGCATGATAAATAGGATACTATTTGTCATGCTCGGCTATTGGACCGGAAGGTATGACGTCATCACCCACAATACAATACCTGCATGACGTCATTCTATCCGGTCAGGCCAGGGGCCTCCGACCGCGTCTGGAGCCGAAAGCGGCCCACCCACCCAACCCGGCACGACGGGCTTTGCTTGGGGTGGGAATGGGCGCCCGCTTAGGGCGGTCGCCTCAGCGCATAGTCAACTTTTTGCTTCAGACGACTATTTCCGCATAACTTCATACTGGAGGTCCATGGCTGAGCATGATAAATAGGATACTGTAGCCTTATGTTTTATTTTTGGCGACGTCTCAAGGAGGCTCCTAATGGTACAGTATTGTGTGCAGTTCGCAAGAATTCTAGGAATTGTACAGGGATTTTGTCCACAGGCATTGCATGTCCACAGGAATGTCTCCCAGCTCTGTTGACAAACCCACATTCCTGGAAACCCTTGGGAAAACCTGTATACCCCGAATGCCTTACTTTCTGTAACCCCGGGGCTCGTTCACTATACACTCAGGGGAGGGGTGGGTACCAAGGCTTCCTCGAAATCATGAAATGATGGCAGTGCCATGCAAAAAATCCCCCTAACAGCGAACACCGTCGCCATGGCAATGTATGTTTTCATTGCCAGTCTTGTTTTTTTTCCAGCAGTGATATTGATGACCCACCTGAACCGGTAGCCGACTACAGCGATAAGGATGACTGCACCACCACGGCTAAGGCTCTACATGGGGTTAACGCGCTGCTGGCGTTCGCTGAGCTGGTTCTGGGGTTCGTGGTCTCCATCATGTGCTGCTGCGGACTGTGCAGCGCCACCAACACACCGGTCAGTAGAACAGTTCCTTATCTATCTTATGTGATTCACTATACACGAATGTGCTAGCTATTTTATAACGGTGTCGCTCAAAGCAAGGCCATTTTTTTGGTCACTTCTAGGCATAGAGCTAGGGGTATAGAACTGTAACAGCGACTCTTCTCCCTGAGTCAGAAACATATTGTTTTTGCTCAGTTTCTTCTTCTTCTTCTTCTCCAAAGAAGACCTGGCCAATGGCCTCATTTGTTGACGTCTGTCACCATGGTAACTGATGTCCGGTTACATGATGTTGCAATTGTATAGTAGGCATTTAGACTCCTGTCACCATATACATGTATGTGAACGTGTTTGAGTAAGAATTAAAGACCATGCTTGTACTATAAAATCACCCAATAAATTCGGCTAACATAAACTATTGGACCTCAGTCTACCTCTGACTACCGTGGTGGTAACATGGGCAGAGACCTGGCTAAGACTGTGAGTGACCAAGACAAGTTTCTCTTCAAGACATTCTAAAAAGAACAAACAACAGATAAGGAATTGAAGTACTGTTGTAAGAAGTTAGTCTCACCAAATACAGAATGTAATGACAACACTGGCTGGTCAAACTCTGCCTAGTAGTGTCAGTGCCTTGGTTAGACTTTGGCCTGCAGTTACTTGTATGGTTCTAACAGCATCTGAGCTCCAATCTACATGTATACTGTGTGGTGTTTTCTTATAGACTACCAAATGGACACCACAATTAGAAGACATGTTTCTAGGCACACTGAATGTCAACGCAAATTCAGCTGTGAGGAAGACATTTTCAAATTACAAATATAAATACTGTATCTACTATAAATAGACATTTCTGATAGGGCCTTTTATAAAGTTGAAATTGAACACAGGGTTGATTTTCCAGAAAGAAGCTGTTGATAGTTAATTTCTTGATTACTTGACTTAGGTACAATTATCTTGATCATTCTACATGTGCATAGCCAGCAGTTTTGTGATGTTACTTTGAAAACCAGTAAGGAAAAATATTTGAATCCGATCGACCGGTATTATGCTAATCTCTCCCTGTCATTGTTTCTAGAGACTAGACAGCCTGGGATGTTTATGTGTTTATGGGGGTCAATTCACTATTCAAGCTGCTGGAAGATCCACAGTGGGGAGTACTACATTGTATGTGGACCCTGGGTTCACTTTTTTCGTTTTTAACAGCCCCCCTCCCCTCCCCCATGCTTTTAACACTCAAGGGCTTGATAGCATCACAACATAACATCGGCCCCCTTCACATGATACGGAATATTTCTAGATACAACAGATAAAGGCCATTTTTCCACGAGAATACAACTATCCGGATAAAGCCAAATAGTTTGGCTTTTATTCGGCTCGTTTCAGGCAATGTTGTCCTATTGGGGAAAAGGCCAATAAACTATTAGTGGGGGCGGCCAATGTTCTTTTTTATTTCTTTTATTCCAACAAGTAATCACAAGACGTGGTGGCGGCACACTCTAGTTTTTTCAACTTATATTAATGCCGCCACCAACACATGGGACAAATACATGACAGGACAACACTCATTTTCAGCTGAGTGAAGTGAGGGAAGTCGTGTAAAGTGCCTTTCCCAAGGGCACAAGGTCGGTGGCCAATGGTTACAGATGGCAAATGTAGACTCCCCTTGTCCCACAGAATCTGCCTGGAGAAGAGGTTATGAAATTATCAGGTTATTATCAATAGTACCATGTATGTTGTAGAATATAGTACAATGCTAGAAGTAGATATAGTCTCACATACCACTGTATTTTATGTCTTATGTTGTTTGTAACCGCAATTAGCCCTCGGGCAAGTATTTGCAATAAACTTTCATTAAACTTTCATTATCATGGCCGTGAAAAGTTTCATCAGGTTGGTAAGTCACTGAGTAAAGAGACTATTTTTACACAACCAAATCTTTTATTCAGCCTACGTTTCGGTGACCGTCTGTCACTTTTCTCAGGACAATTCTGACTGGTTCACATTCATGTTCATGTATATATATATATTTATCCAACTTTCGCGCGTTTGGGACCGCATTGTAGATGCATTTCCCTGTAATCCAATCACGCACATGTGTGGATATGTAGATGTTGTACGTTTGGGAGTGCATCTAGGCAGCGACACCTGTGCTGCAGTACAGTGTGACCCAGTCAGAATTGCCCTGAGGAAGGTGACAGACGGTCACTGAAACGTCGGCTAAATAAAAGACTTGGTTGTGTAAAAAAGTCTCTTTACTTATTAGGTTATTATGTAATAATAACTCTGTTCTTGGCTTTATTTACACACAGATCATGTCTGACGGACAGGGCGGGTTCATCCTACTGCAAGCAGGTAGGTTCTTTGGCGACTTTTGAAGTTCCCTCCTTCGTGCTTTCTCGTACCATGGTGCCACGTATTTATAGCCTCTACCAGGGATTGGAAGGCGGCTGAAAAGAGTAGAAATTGGCCAAAAAGTGAGATGACATGCCAGGCCAGGGGAGTTGGTCAGCTAGAGAGTACAGTTTAGGTGCAGCAAACGGTACTAGCTAACCAACTCCTCTGGCATGTCATCTCTCTTTTTAATTGGCCAATTTCTACTCTTTCCGGCTGACGCCTGGTAGAGCTAATGCATTCCTCAAACCAATTAAGCGACATCTTCCAATATAAATGAAATCAGTTCACACTTATGGCTACATATGGCTAAAAAGTAGATATATGCCCTGTGTAAAGAAGTTTAAAGCAAGTGAAACGTACTGATATATTGACGTCTTGTTGTTCCAGTGCCTGCTTCGCGACAGTTCGGAGCTCAGCAGCAGGTGTTCCTGGCGCCACCTGGCAGTCCACATGCGCCTCTGCAGGAGTACTACACCGCGGGACCGGCACCGCCGCAGTACGCCCAGCCGGGCGGGATGGGGGCTGCTGCAGCACCGCCGCAGTACGCCCAGCCGGGCGGGATGGGAGCCACTGCAGCACCGCCGCAGT